TGTGGCGGCTGAAAACAATCGTCATTTGAATACCACACCCCTAAAAACACACCCAGTTTAGAAGCCTCGCCCCTAGAGTTTACGACACGGAGAAACGAAACCCGGCCAAAAAGAGGAAGTAATCTCGTGAAAGAGAAATCGATCTTACTCCACAAACACCCGTTAACCTTGTAATTCCAAACATATAGGCTATCTTTTGTGTGATCCTATTAATTTTATTCCTTCTAGACTTTGTTTTTTTCTTTTCACAGAAGCGCTGCAGCTGCATGATGTGACGACTGAATACTCATGGTCTTGTTTACGCTGCTATTCGCGCATATAAAGCTCAATAAGCCCAGTACAAAACCGAAAAAAAAGACATTCTAATCTTACTGGTTAACGATCGACTAATGAGCTTCGTTTGACAGTCAGGACAACAACAAAACGCTGTCATTCTGCAATTCTCCAGCATATTTACTATGCTGCGCGCAAGTTCAGGTAACTCAACCAGATTTGAGATTTCATCGTAGCCACTGCTCACATCCATATTGATAAAATTCCAAGTTTTGCGTTGAAACGACCGTACGCCCAATTTTCTTTCATACGTTCATTTCGTAAATGAGGCCCAGTGTGTGTTAACTACTGGATTAATTGTGTATTTCTAAAAGACATGTTTCAAATCAGGTCAAAACCTCATTTACAAATTCGACACTGGATCAGCAGATTGCCTGAATGACTTTAAAAGGGACACTGGATAAAAATAAATAAAAAAAAGCTTTGAAGTAATTTTTTATCTTATTCACTCCTCAAGTTGCTAAATAATTGCGCTTAAGAGGTTTTATTTCTTCAATGAAAGAACACTAATTTCCTGGAAGTAGAAACAATAAAATTATGCACTTATTTTGGGATTTTAGATGATTTACATTTTATTTAATTATTTTTAAGTATATTTACATGCACATTTCTTAATTTCACCATCATTTCTATAAACAAACTTTTGAACGTCACTACAGTAAAAATCTTCTGTAAGCTAAAACATTAAGCAAATATAAGAATCTATCATGTATTGGGCCAGGTTGCTGTCAACTTGTGAAAAAATAAAAAAACCCACGGCCCACCCAAATGCGGCCCCCCATGCTGAACACAATTAAAAAATAACCTTCAGTTTTACAATTCATTTGAGTTTTTACATTAATTTAAAAATGCACTAAACAAATATAAGCTATAATGTTTTTGTTAAGGGATTTTAGATGATTTACATTTTATTTAATTATTTTTAAGTATATTTACATGCACATTTCTTAATTTCACCATCATTTCTATAAACAAACTTTTGAACGTCACTACAGTAAAAATCTTCTGTAAGCTAAAACATTAAGCAAATATAAGAATCTATCATGTATTGGGCCAGGTTGCTGTCAACTTGTGAAAAAATAAAAAAACCGTGACAGACACAGTGATGAAGCTGGTCTCTCTCTCTCTCTCTCGCACGCACGCACGCACGCACGTACGCGCACACACACACGCCAAATAAAGTGCTTTTGCGTTCGTCTAGAAACACACAGCATCTCCCTGACATGCTGCTTCAACACTAACTGCGGTTACTGAAACCACGCCTTCTTTCTTTGCGTGAACATTTGGGCGCATTATGCTAATATTTCCACATAGTGAGGTAGATATGTGGGGGCGTGTTAGAACGAGCCGTTTTAGGGGGGCGTGGCAGAGTCTTAACTTTGATAAAGAATATCTCTTTGGTTTTTAGACTTTAGTCTTTGCAACTTCAGGAATCTTATCTATCAGCTTGTAACACTCCAAAGAGAAAGGAAAACTTGAAATCGCATCTTATGACCCCTTTAAATTCAAAAGTGCTTTCCATATTTGGATCTTACAGACTGCAACTTACAATCGCAACTTCATTGTGCTGTTACTCCTTTCGAGCCGAATTTCACAAAATTGGTCAGCTCCCGACAGCATCAGGTGTTTTATTAAAGGCGAGTAGAATTATTTATTTCAATAAATGTAATCATTTAGATATTTAGGCTGTAATATTATAAATCTGGTTGGTTTGTATTGGTGACGTAATATGTAAATGACAACATGCAGCCCGTGAGACTTGCACTTGGACAATAGTGCGGCCCAGTGGAAAAAAAGGTTGAGAACCACCGATTTAGACATTACCCTAATAATTGTCAACTTCTAGTTATTTATTTGTTTATTTTTCACAGTAAAGCTTACAGTCATGGACTCACAACTCTCTCTAGGTGTGTAAGTGTGTGAATCTGTTACACTCTGGACATTTTATGGTCTCTCTCCTTCATTTCTGTGTGTTCGTTCAACATTGTGGGTGATATATACTGTAGATACAGATTATTTAACGCATGCTAAAAATTGCTCTGTGTTAGGGTCTTTAGCTATGGAAGCCTGTTTCCGCCACTGAATAAAAAATAAAACAAGGTAATTGCGACTTTTTCGCTCACAATTCTGACTTTTTACTCAGAATTGCGATTTCATATTTTGCAATTCTGAGAAAAAAGTCAGAATTGCGAGATATAAAGTCGCGATTGTGAGTTTATATCACACAATTCTGAATGTCAAAATGTCGCAATTACCTTGTTTTATTTTTTATTTAGTGGCGGAAACGGGCTTCCATATTTACCTATTCATTCCCATGGTAGGTTAATTTTGACCATGAAAAGCCAAGGTGTGAATTTTTTGAATGATCATTTAGACTAGCTTTTTCCCCCTTCAGATTGCATTTCTATAAAAAGTCACCACGTTTTGATTCATTCAGGCAGAGTGGAAACTATGAAAAAACATCTCAAATTAAATTGGTAAAAAAACGGCAGCACAGCCTAAAGGTCTAAATCTAGAATAAATAGACTTAGCGGGTTGCTGGATGATTATTCAAGTAGTCAGCCATCATGGTCCATCTCAAAACAATTTACTGCATTCAGAGACTCCACTGTCTCATTATAAAGTCACAAATACAGTATTAAGGCATAAATATGTTCTGCTGCTTCCTCTTTTACAAAACAACACAACAATGCCAAGGATAGGCAACATATAGTTGTGTAAAATTCAGTCAGAGCAGAGTATTTTAAAATCCCACCAGGAGGAAACTGGTGAAGTGTTACTCTTCAGAGTCAAGAGTTGGTAACACATGTTCTCCTCTGAGCAAAAGCAAGTCACAGCGATGCGGTCATCTCCAAAACAAACTAACCTCACAACACAAACACGCACAGCTCATAAAACACCACAAGCTATTATGGAAGTGCCTAAAACACCAGCACAAACACGTGTGCTCAGTGTGTCTTACTTTGATTTGATAGGGCGTCTCATAGCTCCTCTGAGGGCTGAATCCAGCACACAGTTTGAAGAGACTTTTCATGGTTGAACATGACTGTCTAACACATCTGTTTACCGCTCATGAGCACTGTACTCATCACCTGTGTGTGCTGGAGCATGACAGCCCCTGCTCCATTACTAAAGCAGGGAAACCCTGTGTGGCATACACCTGTCAATCACTGATCACCTGACCCTTCAGGGGGTGGAGTCTGGAGTTGGGGTTTGATTTTTAGTGGAAAGTCCTGCATTTAGTATGCATTCTAGTAACTCTTTTTATAGCTTTGTATTGAAAAAATAAAATAAAAATAGTAGTAGTATGCGGTTCAGATCAAAACTTACCTAAGAATTCAGTTCAGTAGTTAACTTACTAATCACACTATTTTTACTGTATGCAGCATATACAGGTGCATCTCTATAAGTTATAGAGGAAAAGTTCATTTATTCAGTATTTCCACGACATTCTAATTTATTGAGATGCACCTGTATAGTGTGTACAATATGCAAATATATCTATAAAGGATATCTAAATGACTCAAAGTTTGGCCCCTGTGTGCTGCTTCTGATGCCTCAGGTCAGTAGAACCGAGAGCAGCTCCAGAGGTCAGAGGTCAGATCTGTGCGTTTGTACCTTGTCACTGTCCACAGTGTTCTGAGAGGTTCTGGATGCGATGGAGATTGTGTCCGGCTGACTGCTGCCATCTCCCTGACTGTCAGCATCCTCACCAGCCTCCCTGCAACCAAACACACAAATAAAAGTCCCGATTAGGGATGTGCCCGAAGCTGAATACTTTAAACAAATTCAAACAAAGAATAATAATCATTAGATACAGTCAGTCCTTGCTCTTGCTGGATAACAGGAGAGCCAGGTGACAGCACAGTATTTTAGACACCGCAAAAGTGACACAATCTCATTGTATTCATAACTATTGACATTTGGTGACTAATTCGTATGAATTTGTAAGATCTCTTTTTGCATCTGCTTACACCCCCTGATTGTTATATTTAGGGGTGGAGCTTCATGCTTTTTTCTAAAAATTGTATGTTTTGTACAAATCATATCATACAAATTCATAAGAAAGCACAACTTCATACTATTATTAATTTTTCTAATGAGATCTGATTAGAATAAACATGAGTCGCTTTGCTGTTTCTGATGTGTTCACATTTATACATAAATGGCTTTAAAGAAAAATATATTTACAGACATTTTGTACTAAAAAGGAATCAAGTTATAAATGATAACAGGCATGTTTATATGTGAACCACGAAGAGAACAGAATTACATATAAAAAGGGACAAACATTCTTTCTTTTCAAACTTTCCCTGCCCACATCCAGCTTTATCAGAATACAAATACAAATAATTGTACTATTGCAACAGATATTGGCTTCACTGCACATCCTTATTCCCATATGCACACATTTTAACAAGCAATTGAAGCTTGCGTGAGGAGAGACAAGATGGCAAATGTTTATACATGAGCATAAGCCTCCTGCATTGTCATGCATAAATGGTTATGAATATTCATGGGTAGTGTTTGGTCTCATTCTTTCTACAGATTTAGTCATTTAGCAGCTGCTTTGATCCAAAGCGACATACAAATGTTTTGATCACATCATTGATCACAAAAAAAAGCAGAATCTACAAATATCAGCGTTTACAACTGCAGTATCTTTG